CTCACCTCTCAGAACTTCCTTGATAACATGAGAGTACCCACCTCCTGTGCTTATCAGACTCAAACACATGTTTCTGAAGAGGTGTCTGTAAACCATGAAAATTCACAGAGGTCAGATTGCGCCTGGCCATTGACCCCTAAAATATTTCTTCAGTCACAACGGGAGCATGGCAGAAGCAGACACTTATAAAACATGGATCCTTTTGAAGTACAGAGAGGTCTCCAGGAAGTGGCCACCCAGCCAGGGACCACATTTCCCAAACCCCTTTGCATTCGAAGGGTTAAAGCTTTTGCAAATCAAAGAACATGAGTGGAAGCGAAGGGCACCATTTGACCCAAGGCAGCCCAACCTGTGTTTGCCTCCTCACATTTTCTTCCCACCTGCTGCTGGAGGAAGAAGACTCCAAGGCCCCAGAGGGTGGCAGGGTTACAGAAAGGAAGAAAACCATGTCCTTGAATCACCAGGTGGAAGAAAGTCATTGCTGACCAGGAACATTCTTGCTGGATTACTATGTGAGTGGGAGATGAACTCTCATCTTGATCATCCACTAAGACATGGGGGCTTGCTTATCACAGCAGCTGACATCACCCTAGTAACACGTGGGCCACAGGGATGGGTATGTTGTGGCTTGGTCGGTTAAAATGTGCTCAAAATGGGCATGGGCATGGGCCCCACGGCAGGCTGTGTCTTCCCCTTATGGACTCACATGCAGGCTGCAGGGCCAAGGGACTACAGAGGGATACCTGCAGTGCGGTGACTGTTGAGGTTGTCAGGCAGTTTGTGTGCATGTGTGTGTGCACACCTACACACACAGACCACTTTGCATGTATTCTAGAGTCATAATGCTGTAGCTAGAAGTAATGGGCTTCAGAGGCCATTTGTTAAAACTCCACTTTAAATAATTAAGTTGGGATCTCCCTCTGTCATAAGCTGGAGTGCAGTGGCATGATCATGCCTCACTGCGGCCTCAACCTCCTGGACTCAGGTGATACTTCCACCTTAGCCTCCTGGGTGCTGTAGCCAGGACTTCAGGTATGCACCATCATACCTGGCTAATTTTTAAAATTTTTATAGAGACCGGGTCTTGCTATGATGCCCAGACTGGTCTTGAACGCCTAGGATCAGGCAATCTTCCCACCTCAGCCTCACCGACTAACTGGGACTAGAGGTACATGCCACCACACCCAGCATATTAAAAAAATTTTTTTTTGTAGACAGTCTCACTATGTTGCCCAGGTGGTTGGTCTTAATCTCCTGGGCTCAAGCAGTTCTCCTGCCTCAGCCTCCCAAGGTGCTGGGATGACAGATGTGAGTCACTGTGCCTGGCTGAAACCTCATTTTTTAGTTCAGGAAAACTGTGATCCCAAGCTGAGATGTGTTGACTGAAGTCCACAGAACCGGTTAGTGCTGGCATCTAGACTGGTCTTTTGAAGTACTTGGGCCTCCAGGGTTCCGGGATCTCTCCCCAGCTCCCCCCACCGCCCTGTTCATCCCAGTTTCTCTTGACCAAGTCTAACATCTGGATAATCCAGAAATACCTCAGAAAAGGGAAAAGAGAGGCATACACGGATATGGGGATTGTGCATCGGTCATTTAACCAACTAGAAGGCATTTCCACTTAGTGGCTGACAAAAAAACAGAATGAACCTTTGGGCCCAGCCTTCCTCCCTGCCTGCTTTTCCATGCTGTTTTGCCTTACTCACATGGCCCATTGCTGACTAGGTGTGCTGATTCCGCACAGGAATCGTGTGCCCAACATGGCCTTCTCAGCCCCATGTTGGCCAGAGGTTGAAGCTGGGACCCCGGGCAGACCGCAGCTGCGCCCTTTCCTGCCCCCTCCCCCTGGTACTCTGGCTATGCCGGCTGTTGTCATTCTGTGACTGTGCCCTGCCCCGTCTGATCCTGGTGCCTCTGAACATGCCACACCTTTTTGGCCCGTCTTTCAGTAGCAAGCTCCCTCACCAAAGTAAATCAGGACTCCACTGTACCTCGGGATCCTACTTAGCACTCGGGTGTCTATGACGTCTCTCCCAATTCTTCCAGGCTGAGTTGGTGCTTTTCTCCCTCCTGTTCCTACAGTCTCTGGGGAGGCCACTCTCAGGGAGCTCAGGGACATGATGGTCATCTCCATGTGCACCCTGGGACCCAAGAGCCTCCCAGGCTCCCCCCATCCCTCAGCTTTCAGAAGGGGCGCAAGTGCCTATGATGTGACCATCGCCTCCTCTCCTTACCTGAGTTGTGTGGAAAAGGGGTAGAAATCCGAGCCAGAGTGACCAGCCCACGAGTGTCCCAGCCTCCGCGGCAGATTTCTATGAAGGATCTGCCTTCTGGGAATGGGGAATCGGCCTCGTTCTCTCAGTGGAGAACTTGCGTTCAGAGCACAAGAAGGATGGGTCCAGCTGGCTGTGAGCAAAGCTGTGAGGTCACACACAGTGTGTGGGCTGGTGGCTGTGCCAGGCTGGGCCATGCATGAGGAAAGAGATCAGAGGAGGAGGACAGGCCTTGCAGGCCACGGGAATCAGAGTTGGGAGAGACCATGTGGGCTGGGGGAGGCAGGAGGTGGCCTTGGGTCCCGTGGCCTGGCTGTGTCTCCTGCCAGGGTCCCACAAGCTCCCCCAACCAGGCCCTTCCAGACACCCTCCCCGATCTTTGACCTAGCTTAGTGGTTTTCTGGTTCTCTTCCCCTGTGTAGACTGTTTCTTTCTTTCTTTTTTTTTTTTTTGAGTTGGAGTCTCACTCTGTCACCCAGACTGGAGTGCAGTGACACGCTCCCAGCCACCGCAGCCCTGCTGGGCTCTGGCGATCCTTCTGCCTCAGCCTTCCAAGTAGCCGGAACTACAAGCGAGCACTACCATGCCTGGCTCATTTTTAAATTTATTGTAGAGATGAAGTCTTGTCAAGTTGCCCGGGCGGGTCTTGAACCCACGGATTCTGGCAATCCACTCACTTTGGCCTCCCAAAGTGCTGGGATTACAGGCTGAGCCACCGAGCCTGGCCTGTGAGTTTCTTAAGGTCAAGGACTATCTCTCACTGTTGGTTGTGCCACTAGAATGTAGCTCAGTACGTGGAAGTTGCCCTGAATGGCTCAGTGTTCGAATGACAAGCACAAGAACTAGCGAAGTGGCAAGGCACAGGCACCATTCCCTCCCTGGAGTCTGGCTGGCCGTGCCTTCTAACCTGGAAACCCTCATGAACCCCCACAGCTCCCACAATGTACATCCTCCAGCCTCTCCAAGTCCAGGTTGTGACAGCTGACATTTCCCTGAGCAGATCACCTCCGTCCATTTCCTCAGAACCCAAGGTGACCCTGGACCTTTCACTGGAGAAACACAGGGAGGCAGGCTGCATGTAGAGAGATATAAGTAGAGCTTTTATTTTTTTTTTTAACCAACCCAACATTTCCACTGGCAACTGTCCACATGGCTTATGACACGAGCACTGTTTCTTTTTTTAGTTAATTTTTCTTTAAAAAAAAGTGTTTAAAATTAAACAGGTGTTTTTTAAATTTCTTTTTTCCCCTTAGAAAATGTATTTATGTCAATGCAGAAAGCCTAAAGATCTGTGGGCAGTTTTGGGATGATGTCATCTGTGTGTGGGGTGTGTGTGTATGTGTGTGTGTGTTTTAAAGCCAGGTTCTTCTAGAATGTGTTGGGAGAAGGTCTGCAGGGCATGGTGATCTCCCTTCCTAATAACCCAGGCTCCACGGGATGCAGCTACTAAGATTCCTTTTAGGGGCAGGAAGCACATTGCAGGCCAGAAAGAGACTTTGTGAAGCTTAAAAAGAAGCAGACATGTGGGACAAATGAGGAATCCCAGCTCCCATCTTGTGAAAATGCCTTCATATGTGACCTGAGGGGCCAGGAGAGGCCGAGGGAGCCCTGTTCTCTTGTAAACCTCTACATTTTCACATCATTTTGAGAACTATCATCCGCCCTCTTGGCGTAGAGTGCTGGGGAGATAAGGATGGGGAGGCCGACGTTTCTCAAAATGCTGACATTGAAAACACACGAGCTCTCCTTAAAGCTCCCACGGGCTGCTGGCTGTTCCCTCCTGCCCCAGGCACAAGCCACAGGTGTGTGGCATGTGGTCCTTCTGCTCCTCCACAGCCCCTGGCCATGACATTCCATTCCTGTCTGTCCCCGCCCCTCCCATTGGTGGGACTTCCTGCATAAGGATGCCCATGTGGACACTCACACACGAGACCCAAAGACTTGGACAGGCTGAGCAAGGAGGGACACTTGTTTCCACATGAGCACAAGAAGCTCCTCCTGACCCAGGTGAAGCCCTGTTCCTCAGCACCCACGTGGGCCTGCACTGCGGTCACTCCCTCGCACATGCCATCAGTCCTCCAAAGGACTCAGAAAAGGAGATGGGGTGGGATCTTGCTGGAGCCGGGAGGCACGCCGCAGGGGGAGGGTGGGGCATGAGAGTGGAGGCATGTTCTGTGGTTGACTCAGACCGGGGATTCCTTCTCGGCACCCTCGTCACTTGCAAAGAAAAGACAGAGCAAAACAAGACATAAAACCCGATGGAAACACAGAAGTAACACAAAAATGATCATGATGACAAGAACACCCCAGCCAGCCTGCTGGGGAGACCCATCTCCACGCCGGGCCAGCTGAGGGGGTGAGGAGAGAGTGCTGAGCCGGACAGATGGGCGTGGCCCTCCTCCCAGGACACCAAGCAAAGGAGGATGCAGGGGAGGGGTCTCCGAGGAGCGACGGGTCTGGCCTCAGCTAGGGGCCGGGACGCGAGTGGGCCGCGGAGGCGGATCTGGCGCAGCTGTTGGCTTGCATTCAGGTAAGGAGTGTGTGAGGCGGAGGCCACCTCCCCTCTGTTGGATTGGCTAAGATTCGACCCTTTCAGTCGCTGCCGGGGAGAGGTCTGCAAGGGCCTGGCTCCGGCTGGCCGCGGCCTCCCCGGGCGCTCAGCGGGGCGGGGGACGCTGCCGGTGGGGAGCCCTCCCGGGGGTCCTTGGCTGCTCGGCGGCTGCTGGCGGCTCAGAACCCCTTGATGAAGCAATAGGCCTCCAGCGTGGCGAAGAGGATGTAGAGGAGCCACAGGCTCACGAAGAGCCACGTCGTGGCCAGCTTGCAGCCCCGGGGCCCCCCGAGCTCCCCGCCCAGGTGGGGCCGCCGGCGGTACAAGAGCACGCTGATGCAGACGAACGCGAAGATGGTGAACAGGGTGACAGAGAAGGCCAGCGTGCCGGCCGACACACGGAACTCCTGTCCCTGAAGGGCCCAGTAGATGGCGGCCACGGACCAGGCCAGGCCGATGCCCAGGAAGACGTTGACGGCGTTGCTGCCCGTGACGTTGCCGATGGAGGCGTCAGCGTACACGTCTTGGAGGGCAGCTGCCTTGCTGGCGAACGTATCTGCGAGGGGGACAGAGACAAGGCGGGGCTGGCGGGA